TTTACTAATCATTTCTGTACAAGGAGTCGTTATACCAGAGGTAAGTTTACAAATTATTTCTAATGAATAGTCTCTGTGTAACAGTATTATTGACCCAATATAGTTATAATCCTGATTCATGTTGAACATTGAATTGCTCTTTTTTGTTTGTTTTTGTTTCCAAGTATATAAACAAACTAATCAAACTATATATACCTCCCCCCAGCTGATTCAATGTAAAACTACGTCTAAGAAATTGTATAGAAAGATTATGATTAATAGTAGGATCCAAGACGTATGTTTCGTCCAAATGTATGTATGAACTCATCAGCTGGATTTATTTGGGTTTTAATACGGAAACTGTAACTTAATGCTTTGTGCTCCCCCCCAAATAAATACTGACAAATACATTTGATTTTATAACTATTTTATTTGAATAAATTAAAAATAAGAAAATTGATTATAGTAGGTTTATAAATTGGAAACTGATGTCTTCATTCACTCAGTGTTGTTTAACTTGTCTCTTCTCATTGTTATTAAAGACTGCGACTGATTAGTCTCTTGTTTGTATATGTGCATCCTGTGTGGATTGTCACAAACATTGTAAGCAAAGATGGATAGTGTCTAGTAGTAAAATTCAGTTTGACGCACGTTTCTTTCTATTTGAGATTCGTCAAATGAATGTATCTGGATCCCAGAGTTGATGTTCACTCTGTGACTCGAAGTCAATACCGTTCACTTCAAATATTTTGATATTTTGAACAGATCTCTTATGAAATATCTGTAATGGTCAGAATAAAAGATCAGTATACTAATGAATAAATAATTGTAAATATGTTAGATGAATAGATTGGTGAATAAAACTTACAGAATAATTCAATCATTGAACTCATTGAATATTCTATGAATTCATTTCAATGCTCTTAATAATGAGACTGTGTATGTTTAACAATGGTAAGATCAAACATTGATTTAGTATATGCATTAAGAGATTTCAAAAAGTTTTTATTTGATGAAAACAGTATAAACGTGAAATTTGCTAGTTAATCTAATGTTAGTTGGTTTATTGAAATCATCAGCTTACTTACTTACTTACTTACGCCTATTAATCTCAATGGAGCATAGGCCTCTGACCAACATTCTCCATCCCACTTTGTCCTTGGCCATCATCAGTTTACTATTAGGTATTGCATCACTTAATTGATTAGTAGTATATCCATAATTGAAAACAAACAACATATATGTACATAGTATGACTATAATTGATGATCCATCGAACTGATATCAAAATACATGACTAATCGCAGGATTACTTTTTTTATAAGTTCGTTAAACTTTGATAGTACAATGTGAACATTTTACAACCATTTTAAATGTCCTGGATTCGAATCTCTCGAGATAGGATCGTTGATGTCCACTGCTGAGGAGTCCCACAGTAGGACGAAACGGTCGTCCAGTGCTTCCAGGTTCTCCATAGTAGTCTAGCGTCAAATGACTCATGATCTCAACGATTGAAAATCATTATTTAATTGTTAAGAGAGGAACGATATGTATACATTGTCTATTAAACTATTGCTCTCTACAGAAGTGAAGATTTATATTATGTATACTGTTATGTTCGTTTCAGACAATAATACACTTCAGTATTTTTTCTTATCCTCTATATACATGTATGAATCTAATTTTATTATAGTAAATAAACAAAATTGCATTCAAAAGTAAAACATAAATGAATATATCATTCTTAATCAGTCAGTAACAACGTAGAACTTCATACGTACGTACATCAGTTCGAGTTTCCACACCACACTAGTACAGAGATGAAGTAGGGTTTGAAGATGTTATGTGAAGAGCATAATCTAGTGAAATAAATTTGGAAAGAGAAAAAAGAGACAAGGAGGTTTCAGGAGATTAAAATTTGGGAGAACACAAAGAGTGGATGCACCTGAGCCATTGAAAACGATTTTCAGCCATGTCATTCAAGTTCTCTAACCATCGGTTGCTATCATCTCGTGGATCCCAACCAGGTAGTCTACACCTACCAACATGACTCAGTCCACTTGTCAGTGACTTCATGAATTTATGCCATGTTTTGATCTGACTATAGTTAGCTTTCTTCCAACCTACTCCTACACCATTGAACATCGCACATCGAGGCATACGTACCACGTGTCCCAGCCATCTCAACTGATGAAGTTTCACTACTTCATCAATTGATTTGCTATCCTTACCTAGTACCTGTTTCTATTAGGATGAAAGACTTACTTCAAATAAACGTAATGTATTTGGATTATAGATAGTAATGAGATCCTGGATGCTTTTTTTCTTACTTACCAGCTGAATGTACCCGCATTCCAGTATTCCTGATCATACTGAAACTTAAATCCAGTACCTGTCTCTGGATCCACATGAAACCATTTAATAAATCTTAAATACAACAAAACGAGTATTTTTGATCACTTTATCAATCATCTTCTAAACATTAACCACAGTTCGAGACAAGTCTCTAACTAGACAATCCACTAAGGATGTACGTTTCCCTACAAAAAGTAATTAAAATTCATTCATAAATATTCACAGTATGTTACAAAACTTCCATGAGTTAAACTTGATTCTTTAATTGTATTTTCTTCTAATATAAATGACTAGTGAAACTCAACCATGTCATCAGTAAAAGAGTTTTCATTAATGGCACCGGAGATTTGTCTCGCCACATTTGTTGAAGTAAGAAGTCTGTATCATTAGATGCCTATATCACAGTGTAATGCTTGAGAGCTAGTTATGAGAATTGTAGGTCACGAGTTTGCCTCTTGTGAATGACATGGGTGGATAATGCTAAGGAATATTATACTGAAACAAAGCACCTATTCACTGCTCAATGAGAATTTTAGTAGTGCCTAAAGTGAAATTAATCTGTAATGAAAACTACTTACTGATAAGATCTTCTAGATCTTTCGTTCTTCGACAAAATCTTCAAAAAAGGCGGTCAAGTTTATTTTTAAATATTGCATTTCTGTTCTACGAATGAATCCAATAGAATATACCTATTTTTAGTGAAATAAGTGAACATCTTAATTCCAAGGTTGATATTCACTCTGGAACTTGAACCTAAACCCTATCATATCAACCATCAACACGTTATTCATCAAACTGTTCAGTGACATTCATCAAAATATTGTTTAGCATATAATCTAAATAAAGAATAGATATAGTATGACTAATGGCAGAATCCAGGATATGCATTTCATCCTACCTGGGACTTGTCAACTGGATGTACCTACATTCCAGAATTTGTATCTTATGCTATTTAAGACTAATCAGAATTCAATCAGAATGTTAACAACGAAAACATCTAAACCATTAAAGACTAAACTGGATATTACAATGATTATCATGTGTAAATCTTCATGTTTTCATGTTAACAGTATTCAATGCTAAATTTGAGCACTATCCATATACACAGTTGACAAGTTCTAAATAAGTCAAAGCACGAGGAATCACAACAGGCACAAATCAAAACGTATACATATAGACCATAAAATTGTCCTTGGGGAATGTTACAAAAGATACAACGAACCAGTAGCGTTTAAGATTCTCCCAAGTGGGAAAATGAGCATTTTTGGTGAGAAAACAAGAATACAATAATAAGGTATTTATCATGTGAGTTCTGGGGATCTAACATCTCCAACAGAATACATAAGTCAATTAAAACTAGATCATCATGTAAAACTTAGAAGTACCGGTAGGTCATTTCGTCTTAGTATAAGACTTCATCAGTGCGCATTTGCAATCCCTCTCATGAGATTTCAATCTAAGACCGGTCTAATCTAAGATCGGTCTCATGCGTAAACGCTTAACCTCTAGATCACTAAACCGGTATGCGACGGTGTCAATGTCTAACTAAACAAAAAGAAAATATCAGAAGGGGTTTGTGGAGATTTTTAGAAATTTCACAGATTGAAATCATGAGTCAGTTGAAGCTAGACCGCCATGGAAAACCTGGAAGCACTGGACGGCGGTTTCGTCTTAGTATGGGACTCCTCAGCAGTGCGCATCCACGATCACGCACCCCGCAGGATTGGAACCCAGGATGCTGGTTCAGTGGTCTAACGGTTAAGTGCTCGCGCTCGAAGCCGGTAGGTCTTGGGTTCGAATCCTGCGGGGTGCATGATCGTGGATGCGCACTGCTGAGGAGTCCCATACTAAGACGAAACCGCCGTCCAGTGCTTCCAGGTTTTCCATGGCGGTCTAGCTTCAACTGACTCATGATTTCAATCTGCGAAACAGAAAATAATCATATAGTTTGGTAATTATATTGAATCATTCTATTTGTATTTACAAGTGAAATTTAGTAAACAAAATATTTTTTTAAAATTTTTTTGAAAAATGTTTTTTTGTATTTTAACTTGACATTGTTTATCGTTTATTGTTTCTATGAAAGTTTATCTTAGAAAAAAACATTTTTTCCAATGTATGACATATTTCACAGATATAGTTTGTACCATATTGAATCGAACACGCTAGAAACAACAAACAAAAAATCAATAATTTAGTCTTTGTAGATCAATTTTGTTGTTGTTGTTGTTGTTTATTTTCTACTGTATTCGCGTAAAGTGAACACATGATTATGAGTATCGTTCACTCGATATGTCTAATATTATAGTGACAACAAAATACTGAACAGGACATCACTAAAACAATAGTCTTGTATATATTATACTATACAACAACAAAAGGTGGATAGTTCTGAATTCATTGCCTCAACTAATTTTCTTTTTATCACTATTGGGGTTATGGAGATTATAAAGTTTTTGATTGAGATGATGAACCGATTAATGTTAGACCACCATTGAAAACCTGGAAGCACTGGACTGATAGGTCCTGGGTTCGAGTCTTGCAGAGGGCGAGGTCGTAGATGCACACTGCTGAGGAGTCCCACAATAGGACGAAACGGCCGTCCAGTGCTTCCAGGTTTTCCTTGGTGGTCTAACTTCAATTGACTCATCAATTCAACTATTAAATTGGCATATGATGGATAACCTTAAAAGCTTTATTCAAGTTAACTTGATGACCTGTATCCATCAAGTGAGCGAGAATATAACTCTAAATCACTTCTACCTATCTTTTGTTCAACCAAGACGGATGGTGTTCTGCTATGCGATGACTGAAATGACCGAATTGTACGCACTATATAACTAGCTCCACTGGAGCGTTTGAACTGATGAATACACATGTATGTGGCGAATTCAAACAGTTTGTCTTTATTGACGGTTTTTTTATGAGGCGCTTGTAGAAAACGGTATTTAATTTGGGTTGCAGTAAATGTTTTCTGTACTTCCTTTCTTAACTTTTGAATAACAATTTCTTTGGTAGCAATATTTAAAAACTGTAATTTTAAGAATAGTACTTTCTTCGGTACGGTAGGTAATCTTGTCCTTCTTTTCATCTTATTCATGTGTTTGTTAATGAATATCATTAAGTATTCATTCTTACTAGGAAAGTTACGATGTCACATTTGAGCAAACCATTCTAATACGATGAGTTACGATCTTTATCAAGTTTCTTTTGTATCTCATTGGTATAGCACTGCGGAAATGAGTATATTGTCCAACTGTAAACTTTCTATATATCTCTATTTTTAATGTTCCATCGAGAAACAATATTCTATTATTCTGTCCTTCCATTCAGTCAGTCAGTCAGTAACAACGTAGAAAGTCGTACGCACATACATCAGTTCGAGTTACCACACCACACTAGTACAGAGATGAAGTTGTCGATTCAAATCCCGTAGTGGTAGAGGTAGTAAGAGTATAAGCAGTAATCGGAAACATTAGGGTTTGAAGATGTTATTCAAGTACCATAATTCTGTGAAATAAATTCAGAAAGAGAAAAAAAGGACATGAAGAATTCAGAAGACTAGAATTCAGGAGAACACAAAGAATGGATGCACCTGAGCCATTGAAAACGATTTTCAGCCATGTCATTCAGGGTCGCTTACCTGATTTATGTACTCGGTTTCTATCATCTCGCGGATCCCAACCATGTAGTCTACACCTACCAACATGACTCAGTCCACTTGTCAGTGACTTCATGGATTTGTGCCATGTTTTGATCTGGCCATAGTTCCCTTTCTTCCAACCTACTCCTATACCATCGCACATCAAGGCAGTCAGTGGTGTACTTCCACTAGTTTAAAAGTAATCGATAGATGAATGTTATTAAAATATATTATAAGTAGATCTAACCAAATGAAAGATCAACTAACATCATTTACAAAGGGCACCGTTAGGATACCAAAAGTTAAAAATAGAAAGTTTTTCAGTTTAGTGGGTTTCTCTTTCATATTAACAACTTGTTTCCCATATGTAGAGTTGAATCACAACTAAGAATTCACCGAATAATTCATTTAATACATTGTCATTAATCTATAGGATAATTATGTAAACAAATATGGCTATTATTTGATATATACGGAAAAGTAAATATTATATAATAACCGAATGTAGGAAGTAAACACTTGAGGTAAAATGTTTACTAAAACAGGAATTGATATTCGAAAAAAAGTATATTGATGTTATATCCCAATGAGAGTAATGAATGGTAACCGTTGGGATCTATTTATGGACCAATACGATACACTTATATTTATTGTATAATTGTTAAGTAGCTAAACTATCTGCATATTCATGTAGGTAGGGCTAGGCAAGAAGAAGGACCGAAAGAGACTCTAGACTGCTCGTACTTGTTTTATGCGTTATCGGTTCGGCTGATAAATCACTGTTCTCTCATTGACGGTATAATTATGTCATATATTGATACGGGTACAGGACCTCAAGTTATAACAATTTGATAGATTAAAGATAATTCTGCTTATATGGTAATTACTCTATTAAATAAGGCTGTTTTATAATGGTTAATCATTTTCCTTACTATAACTGCCTATATTCAATATCACGTATTTTTGATAGAACATGGAATTCTCAACACAATTATTTCAACAAGTTTCTCATTTTTTTAATTCTGGATCGATTCTGACGATAACATATTGAGTGATCATCAGTTAGAGGTTAGCAGTCCAGTCAATTGACATCTAATTAATGTACAATCTTTTTGCTACATACTGTCGGCAACTATGATGTCTTTGATTAGGCCCTTTTATAACTTATACAACGAAAGGATGTACACTTCTGAGAAACTCACCTGAATAGGTTATGTGATGAATAACCAATAATGATGTGTATTAAAACAAACAAACATCAGAATTAGATAACTTGTTGACATATTGAAATCAATGGTAGAAACAATTAGCTCAGATGTTCAAACAGGTCGCCAGTTTACAAGGAAATTAGATTAACTCAGATAACTTGATGATGTATTATAGTAAAACACCATAATGATTTATACACTAATCATTGAAAGATGACTACTCAAATACTGATGTACTGGATCATTAAAAATAAAGCAAATACTTGAAAAAGTTTAAAATTTAGCTTAAAGTAATCTCCATCATCATCTGTCTTCTTAATTGATTACTATTCGGTGTAATTATGATTTATGGACGATCTTCGAGAGATCCTAAACGGACTTAGGAATATCCACTTACTTATTAAGGCTAAATGATGGTTATAAAACAGTATAAGGAATTGAATTTATCATTTACTGTTGATGGTTAAGGTTAAGAATTAAATTTAAGGTTTTCATTACAAATTGACATTGGTCGCGCAATTTCGTGGATTGGTTGATGTTAGTCACAATCACCAGTGGATGCCGGCTCAGTGCTCCAGTAGGTTAAGCGTTCGCGCGCAAGACCGAAGGCCCTGGGTTCTAGTCCTGCGAGCCCACAACTGAGGAGTCCCACAATAGGAAGAAACGGCCGTCCAGTGCTTCCAGGTTTTCAAAGGTGGTCTAACATGAATCGGTTCATGATCTCAATCAAAAACTTTATAATCTCCACAACCGCTATACTAGTAATTAGCTTAAATGTCAAGACGCTACTTAGACAAATGGACTAGTGAATTTCGCGTCAAAATCAGAGATCTGTTATTTTATACCGGATTAGTTTGTCCATATATTATAGTCTTGTCGAAGAAACATATTTTCGGGAGTATAAACTTGAATAAATTATCCGGTTTCTAACCGGTAGTTGCAAATCTCATTCAACCTACTTCAGTTTATGGAACTCATTAGTATTTCTAATGTCTATAGATAAAGTGTGACTCAATGTCCAGTAAATGAATTGATGTATTGGTTAAGTAGATAGATGATAGAATAGTAGAATACTTACAAAAGTTCAACAGTATAACTTAACACTCACTTTATGATTTAATGTTTATATTCATGCTCCCCGATGTAAATTCAACAGAAAAGATCCACGAAGATGTTATGATCAACGAAAACTTACATATTTGAAACACCTTGATAATGTACATTCAAGTTAACTTCCATCTCCTCATTAGTCAATTTTTTTATTCAGAAGGGTTTTTTTGGAAATTAGAATGATTTTAATAGTTGAAATCATGAGTCACATGAAGCTAGACTATCATGGAAAATCTGGAATCATTGAAATGCCGTTTCGTCCTATTACGGAACTCCTCAATGCAGGTACGCAAACACGATCCCGCTTCTCAAGATTCGAACCCAGGACCTATCGATTTTATAATCATTAAAAGAACCAAACTATTGTGCAATAATATACTAATACAATAAGTATAACATTAATCATCGAAATATCTAGGCCTATGATAACCTATGAAAATGATTTCATTTAAACATAATGTTCTTGTATGTTTTTATGAAGCTCAATATACAATTTAAGAGATAAGTCGGTGAGACTAAAATTTATGAACGAATCAATCAGATTTAAGGTAACAGGCCATGGGATTTGACGCAAAACGCATCCATCCATCTGACTAAATAGAGGTTCGGCATTTTAGCTGATGTCAATTCGTGATGAAAACCCTAAATCTAATTCCTAACATTAACCATAAACTGGAAATCATAATCGTTACTCTTCAAAGTGCTTCCTAATCTTTATTTAACTCTAGTAAGTTAGTCATCATTCTCAAGGTGAATTTAGAGTCACTCAGATATCTTCCATTAACTATAGCCTTACCGATATGTAATGATATTTGAATACGGTGGCAGTGGCGGTCTCACTAACTCGAGTAGGTCTCCAATCACTCGACACGGATCATCTACTTTGGTGATCTACGGTACAAAATAAACCAATTAATTTTTTAATGTATTCATAAGTTAACAAGTAGTAGTTTACGTAAACAGCTCTGAACAATGTTGTTTGTGTATGATCTAATAATACCAATTAGCTACCCAAATCGACGTAAGTACAACAGAAGCAAAATTTGTTACTTAGTGGTCGAAATCCAAGTCCTAGATAGTAGATACAATTTTGTGATGATAATAATAATAATGTTCGTAATGATTTTCAAAGGCAATTTACTTGGGACATTTTCTAGTTCAGTCACTACACACTACCATATCATGATTCTCTGTAAAGTATACAAGAAATACTTCATACAATCGAAAATAGAAAACTTTACTGTGCTAGATTGTACTGGATTTACATACTGAACTGTTCTCATATTCTGAACGGTCACACTTGTGAATTGATAAAGAACGATTGTTATTATTTTAATACTAATATAGTGAGATTTGTGATATAGTATGTACACACCGGTCAGACTCAAGGTCAATAGAACCATTCCATAGTTCGTTTGGGGGGGATTTGGACAGCTTACTTCTTTTTGAAGTATTTACTAACGATGTTGTCAAGACATGGAATCCATGTTATATGACTTAACTGTTCATCTTAGAGAACATAATAATCCCAAAATCTTTCTGTTAAGTTATAAATATTCTCTATTCCATCAATGTAATGACTGTATTATGACGTAAACATGACTTTGTTACAAATATTTTGTAGAACGTAGAAAATATCTTACTGATAAAAAGTTTTGATTAATGGATTTAAACTGAATATCCTGTACAAATTTTAAAGTATTTTAAGCAAAGATGGTCAGTGGCTAACAGTGGGAGCCATTGACTGGATATACCAAAATCTCAGAGTTGATGATCACTTCGGGACTCGAACCCAATGCTTCAAACACCATCGCGTTATCCACTTAGCTACTAATCAATTGTATTCCTAAATAACAATGGGAAGATACAAGTAAAACAACATCAAGTGAATTGAAAATTTTTTTAATGTAGTTCAAACTCGAAATCATAGATTTAAAAACATTTTCCAATCAATGACAGAGATCAGAATATTCGGATCTTTCAACGAATTTAACATATTCAAACTTTACAAATCCTTGATCTTAATAATAATCCAATGTCTTAAAACCTTCTTCATGAGTTATTTCTCACTTTCCATGATATGTAAACACAAGCATGTAGTAGGTTTATAGTAACTTAGCTTATCATTTAGTTGAATTTATTACATGGTTTTATGTATAAACTTTAATCACCTTACAGTTACTAAATTGATTATGATTAATACAATGAAGTTTTAAATTCACTTGATGTTA